ACTTCTTCATCATTAACTCCAAATAACGCTATGTTCTCAGATGTAGAATGCAATTCGTTATTTTTAAAGTCCAAGGAAAAATTGTATTTCCTTAGAAAGTCCAATCCGAGTATGCAAGAATCAGTGATCTCTGCTACATATGCCGTGTGATGGTAAGCGGCACTTCCAAACGTGATGTTAACATTTACTTTTCCATCGATGTCGATCTTCTCACCGGACACAGTCTGTAGGGTAACGCAGGGCGGCGTCCAGATAAGTTTGCTTCGCAGTTGTTCAGCCAAATCTTTTCGGATGATGGTAACGTTGGCTCCTGTATCTATCGTCATATTGCAGGGAACTCTATTAATATATCCTATTATGAAAAGTCCATTACTGCCGCCTCTCACTGCAGAAATCTGAAGGGCTTTAAACTGGGGCTTTTCATTATCTGGCAACCTCCGCCCCGCGAGATGGCCACTAATTAGTTTCCCTGCTGTTTGTTAGGAGCGGTTTTAACATCCGTACCCTGGGGTGTTCTGCAGTTTCGTCGTATGTGTCCTTCAGCACCGCAGTTCCAGCACTTTACGGTCGGTTTCTTGTCACCAATATTCCGTCTCAAGGCGTTCAGTTGTCTAGTTAAATCGTCTAAACGAGCAGTGACTTGATCCCCTGGCTCCTGGACCTGAGCAGCTCTGACTGGATGGCGGTCTCGACGGGTGGCTTGCTGGGCTGCCTCGAATTTCATGGCGTACACTAAAGCGCTTTTCAGATCTTTAACATCCGCCATTCGCAGTGCTTTCTGTATTTCAGGGTTCCGGATGCCATTGATGAAATATTGCAGGGACAGGATTTCCCTTGTTTCTGTCGGGCACTCCGAAAAGGCGTTATGTGACAGCCTTTCAATATCCGTGGCGAGCTCCTGAAGTATTTCGGTGAGCTTCTGTTGACGGGATTTTAATTGGAGCCTGCTGTAGTCTTTTAAACATTTGTCCCCCGAAGCGCAGCTCCAAGGCGCCGAACAGAGCTTCGAAATCTAACTTTTTGTTTTGGGGAAGAGTCTGAAGGATATCCGCTGCGTCGGCTCTTAAAGAAGCGGCGAGATGACAGGCCTTAGCTTGGGAATCTCATCCATTCGCATCCGCCACGATAGAAAATTGTGTCTTATACACCTGCCAGGAGGTCTTCCCATCATATGTCGATAGCTTCAGAGAGGGACGAGCAGGCATGGGTAGAAATTTTAAACCATCCGAAGTGCTCCCTGCCGTCGCTACGAATTTCTTTAAAGTGTCAACTTCTTTGGCCACGACAGCAGAAATTCTGTCTTCGATTTTTTGTTCAATATGTCCTTGGACGGCAGAAACTCTGCCTTCAATTTGTTGTTCAATATGTCCTTGGACGGCAGAAACTCTTTCTTCAATTTGTTGTTGGAAGGCCGAAACTCTTCCTTCGACTCGTCGCTCCTCAGCCGACACTATATCTTCTATTTCATCTTTGACAGAAGAAACCTTTTCTTCAATTTGCCCAACTTTATTTTCAACCACATCTATTCTACCTTCCATGGCATCGCATTTGGTTTCTATTATGCAGGCAATTTCTCTTTTCATTTCGTATTGACTTTCTTTAATCTTTACTTGTAAGGCTTTTATTTCGTCTTTAAAAGTTAATTGACCAGCTTGAATGGCCTTCATCTCTTCCTTAACGGATTCTTGGCCCAATTTCATCTCGCCTTTAATTTCTTCTTTAACGGAGTTGACGGCTCCTTCCATCTTTTCTTGGAAAGCAGCAAATTCAGTCATCATTTGCCTGAATTGTTCTTCTATCGCTCTTGTTATTGGCATTCAAATCCCACTTCTGACACCAAAAATTGTTGCGTGCGTACGGGTTCGTTATGAAATGAATGCACAAGTCCGAGGAAAAATGAACAAAAATTTATTATTATCACAACAAAAATGCTTAAATTTTCTCAAATTATCATGCAGTATTACAATATCTCACAGTAGTTACTTTTAACTACTCAAATGTCTAATAGAACGTAATTCAAAACAGCTAAAGAACGCTAATCCGGGAATTGGCTACAATCAACAAGAGCAGTTTTCTAAACAACAACAAACTAAGCAACTACTACAAACTGACATGTTTTCCTCCTTTTATAAGATTTTAAGATCACGCGCTAGAAATTTTCCAGTACTTTCTCGAAATCAAAAAGAGATATTTATTTATTTAACGCACGCGCTCTTGTATTTTCAATTTTCTGGCTTAGCTTTCTTTTAATATTCGTCACGCGCCGCACTGCGCGAGAAATAAAACCATTTAATTTATAATTGAACTAACATTAGCTTTTTAAATACCAAATTCGTAACAATATTAAAAATAATACTAAGTGGAAATAGGGGGTGCTGCAGTTCTACAGTGCTTATTACGAACCCCCACTGGTTGAGCCAAATATTTTCGGATGATGGTAACATTGGCTTCTGCATCGATGGACGCAAGTATCTCCATTTGTGTGTCCCGTGATAAAGAAACTATTAATACCGCCACTCATTGCACAAATATGAAGCGCTTTGACAAGGGTTACACAATATCTGGCAACCTGCGCTCCACGAGATGGCCACTAATTTGTTTTTTGCGTCCTTCCTAAGAAGCGATCTTATTTTACATGCCTTGGGGTGTTCTGCTACTCCCTCGTACGTGGCTTTCACCACCGCTATTCTAGCGCTTCGGAATCAGTTTGTTGCCACTCGCATTCCGCTTCAAAGCATTGAGTTACATGGTTTAAATTTCATGTTCTTTGCACTTAAACCATAAAATTCAGTTCAGTAGCAATGTCGTAAAATAATTTTAAAATGAGTGTATCTTTAGAATTTCCGATGCACAGTTCTGCGCCCGCTGGAGTTAAAAAAAGTTGTTTTTTTTTTTTTTCCTTTCCCCGCCGTAGAGTGTTGCCATTGATCTCTTTTAAATCGTTGAGTTTGTTACTCAAAAATTCGATAAAGTTTTATAAAATATGAAATCGATCATAAAACAAATTCCAAATTTCAAATTGGATCTTCCACATGCCCATATTCGTAGTAGGATTACGTCATTCAAAATTCGATGGCGCTAGGTTGTTTTATCACAATGCCAGAAATATACCTACATTTATGCAGATTTTGCAGATTTTTCAGTATTTAATTTCTTCAGATATAATGCAGGACTCTAACATTTGGTCAAAAGTGAAACGGACGTTTATAAGGAACCAACGGAAAATCGCAAAACGAAAACAATAGTCCTTCAGGGACAAAGCTCCTTTAGACTAAAAATTTAAGACTGACAAAAGACTAACAAAATGAACATAACGCTATATATTTGCGCAAACTGAATTTACGTTCTTGCCAACCCAATAAGTTCTCATCTGCCAGTCTAAAAGACTTTTGATTAATTAAGATATGGACTCAAAAGAAATATAAATTAATCTCACTTGCCACTTAAAAGATTTCAAAACGTTGATCTAGAAAATACTGTAGATATTTTGATTGTACATCTCATCTTTGTTTCCGTTATTGATTTGTACTTTATATCTTTTGCAAATATTTCATCTAAAGCTCCGTAACAATATTAAAATCTCACGTTACAAAGGTAGTATTTTTGAAGCCTATGTTTATTTATTTCTGGAAGCGTAACTCTTATCTCTTAACAAGCAAAAGGATCCGCAGTACAGAGCTAAAATGAATGATCAGTGTATCTAATGTCGGGGTTGCACGTGTGTAGTTGACTGTTGTGTGTTGAAATTAAAAGTGCACTTAAATGCTATCTCGATCACAACCTCTCAGAAGAAAGCTTTACTCAATGACTGCTTAAGAAGCGGTGATAAGAAAGTTGCTTTGATTTCCAACGCCATAGAACTTTCCGCGTAGGATTTGCAGACCATTTACGAAATCATCGTATCGGAGAGTTAAACATCTTCAAAATGCGCAATTGCAGTCGCTGCTTGGCTTGAAATCCAGTGTAGTAGGATTAAGTACAGTTGGTTGTTAAATATGTTATATAAAATGATATGAGACTTTAACGCAAAAAGTGCTAAGCACCGAAGTTAAGATATGTATTTATAAGACTGCAATTTAATGTAAAAAACTTAGTGCATTGATGAACAATGCATTAGTTGGAAGTTTCATTAAGTTAGTTTAATATTCCTTTTTTTATTGCTTCCAGGTTATGCATACACAAACATGATGAAGTTGATTCAGAAATGAAACAACAAAAATCAGCGTTATATTTTCAAATTTTCACATAACTAATTTCAATGGTTTTACCGAACCACCAACCTCAGCTGCAAAAGCTCAAATCAGCTTTTGCAGCTGAGGATGTTGGTTCGGTAAAACCATCGAAACTAATCCTGTAAAAATTTGAAAATATAACGCTGATATTTGTTGTTTGATTTCTGAATTAGTATTTGTTCGGCGTGTTATTGTGCCTTAATGGTGAAGTTGCTTGAAACATGGCTTTGGATTAATGACTGTTGAAACTTTCTGTAAAATAATATCAGTAATAGAATTAAAATTACATAAAATTTAACTCAAAATGAAATTAGCTATTTCACAATTTAACTGATTTCTTAACTTATCATCAACAGTTGGTTATAATTAATCTTCCGACTAAAAACATATTACATATAGACGTATCAAAATATCACTTATCGTTTTCAGCAAAGCCTCTTTTTTGAGTGCTTTGTAAATTTCTAAAACAATTTTTTTCAATGAATAAATTCTTTTGTCAGTTTCTTTCTATACTACTATTACTGTGCAACATATAATAAAAAGAACCAAAGTTTAATAACGATTTCATAAAATTAGAAAAACATTCGAGCAACACGGATATAGATGCAAATATTGATGTTTCAGACCCCAAAAGTTTCCTAGAGAAGAGTTTCTCATTGGCTTGGCTCCATTTTATCGGACCGATTGTTGAATCAAGACCTTTTATCTAACAAACTGAGTTCTGAAAACGAAGAATAGAAAGAAATAAATGAAAATATAATATCTTACCACATAATAACCTGGATTCGAGGGAAATGTCCTCACTAGCACAGCTAATGAACTTGTAAGATAGGCAGCAAACCCTGCCCCTTCCACAGCACGGACAGCCATACATAACCAAAAGAAAATTGGACCTCCTGGACTTTTTTCGAGACATCTGTGGCAAATTTAAAAAAGAAAGTCATATGTAAGTGGAAAACTGCAAAAATGTTAGTGAGCCGACAGAACTGCTTTTATATTACTACATTTCATAATCACCCAACACTATTACTTCTGCACACTAGAAAACTAATATTATTACTGTCACCAAACACAGGCATGAATGCATTTTGTGCCAGTAGCATGAGATTGTCGATTCATTCTATATGATAGCATCTCTTCAGGCCAGAGAACCAAATGCAAAAGAAAGAATACGTACGAGTAGGTTGTAAGGTTTATGTTAATTTTTCTAACAGTTAATCTAACAATTAGTTAAAAGTTACTTTCCTATCTTCCTGAATTTCAGCTTACAACTTCTGGCCAGAACGTATTTTCAAAATCACGTTTGAATGCAAATGAGAAGTATTTAACTATGAAGCTCCACTGACTTCGTTAAGGAGCCAGAGATACTAACCAGCGCGCGTTCGCCATTTTAAGCTACTCTCTCTCTCTTAAGCTATTATTATGCTCGGCTGTACTTTAGGCCTTTGATAGCTTCGAAGTTAGTTAGCATTGAGGGACCAACTCTGTTAGAATCTTGATAGCTTCGGCTATATCTTTTTAGTTAAGTTAGTTAAGTTTTGAGGCTCAATGGCGCAGTGGCTAGCGTATCACGCAGCAGCATCACAGGTCACTGTTCGATCCCCGGGCTGGGCAAGGTCGACTCAGCCTTTCAGACCTTGATTTTCATCACTTGGGTCGATAAAGTGACTACCAAGTTCGCTTGGGGACTAAACTATGGGGGGTCCTGCGACACTTGTTCAGGGCATATTTTTACGCAGCCCGGGCCAAAGAATCTCCTTAGAGATTCTTTGGCCCGGGTCCACGGTCAAGAAAATAGACTTCGGGCACTGGTGGCCTTGGCACACTAGGCCTGTTGCGCCACTGAATTTAGTTTAGAGTCATTTCCAGCCTATGCTAGTCAGTATACCAAAGCTCATAATGCAAGATGACAATATTTAAATCCTGATTTAAATATTAAGAGAATATAGGAACTATATATTATACAATGTGAAAAAGAAAATATAGTACCAGTGAAAGGCCACTGAGTTAAGTTCAGTTTTAGTTTTTAGTTTTCTGAGTTCAAGCCCGAGTGGAGGCTTTATTAAAAAAAAAAATAGGATTTGCATTTTATTTATTTTTTTTTTTTTTTTTTTTTTTTTTTTTTTTTTTTTTTTTTTTTTACAGATGAATTTTGCAGCTCTTATATACTTTTTCTCTTTAAGCAGAACACTTCTTATCGAATAAGACTTTTTACAGCGTTTATAAACGATTCACAAATGGGAAATAGACTGCTTTGTGACATTCTCCTTTTAACGTTGCGGGCATGGCCTTTTTCACTTCCTTATCTGAAGAGAGCCTTTCGCCGCACAATGCCTTTGAAATATTGAGACAATTCTTTGTTTGTACCAAGCTCAACTTCTATCCGTATATCTTTTGGAGGCGTAATGGTTGGTTAGGCTTAGTTTATTAGGTAAAACACATGAGGGCTATGTGCCTAAGGGGGAGGATGCCTTCGTGGAGGACTTTCTAAGGTAAACTGGTTCGTATACACGCTACACATAGAGAAAAACACGCAAATGCCCATGCAGCCAGCCTGTTAGCCGGGTTCGAACCCCGGATCGAACTACCAATATTCAACGACTTTACCGTTCGGCCGCTGGTGGGCCTAGGGAGACGTAGTGAAAAAGGAGCAATCAAATAGTCACAGCTAAAAATAATGGCAACAGATATAGCGGTGGAATATAAGGAAATAATAAACTAAAAAAAGACCGTATTTGAATTGCATTAAAAATAATTGCATTTGAAGTGCTAGTTATGCGCATAAAGTTATGACCAATATTAAGAAATTGTGGTATGAAACGTTAAATTCATGTTCATAAATTTTAAAAAATTGCATGTTAAATATTCCTTAGCCCTAGTTCTGCTCATATATATATTTTTAAAAGGTGTGTTGACGTTTTTCTTGGAGTGATTCTGTTCCATTCGAATTTTTAACTTAATTTTTTATTAAGTTTTTTAATCTGGTTTTTTAATCCAGTTTTTTAATCTGGATGGAGGTTCTCAAAATAACGTGATTCCTCTAAATGCTCTCGAATAGGGCTCAAGATTTAAGAAATGTTTGTCGAGTTCAATAATAATTGAACAGTAGAATTAAATAAGTAAACATTGTTTGTACCTTGTGAAACCTACAGTCTATTTCAAATAAAGAATTTCGATATTTATGTTGTGGTAATCAGGGGCAGGTTGAGCTGATGACTCCATATAATAATTAGTAGCCGACTAAGTTGCTATTTGTTTAGTACATTTGTTGAGGTTGCGTATTACCTACTGCATTTTCGAACGCAAAATGTATTTGTTACAAATTTATGAGAAGCTCTATTACAGTATGTAATAACATGGAAAACACAGAACAATTTTGTAGGGAAAGTTATTGTCCTCGCTATGTGAGGATCCTGCTAATGGCTAGTCTCTCTGGTCAAGAGTTCCAGAGCATTCTGGAGTGTTGTTCCGTTGGAAACAATCTGCAGACTGAAATAGTCATGCCTCCTTAATTTTTCAGTAGTATTTTACATCCTCTGATTCGTTATGTCTGGAACGATATTGGAAAAACGAGATCATTGGTTCATTAGCCTTCCTGAAATCGAGAGGCTTTGACGACAGACGCAGTGCAGAACGCTAAAATCTGTTGACACTGGTCGTGAAGTTACGTCTCTTGCACAGTCACCCGGAACGAATAATTGCATCTGCGATATCAGACCATGTCGTCTCCCACATCGTAACAGCTTGAACACGGTGACTTGTGGGGGGACCGAACACACGATTTTCTCATCTCTGTGTGGTCCGACGCAATGTTATCTAAATTTCATTCGTCAAGAAATAGGAAATTCGAGTTTTATATTCTATTTCTTTAAATTATAAGCTAAATTTGTGTTTTTGTAGGAAATGTACTGGAAGTTCTTTAAGAAACTGTAATGAATTTTATAGATGATGGCCCGTTTGGGAATGAAACCGGAAGAGATAAATTAAGATCTCAGTTTTTTTGTTGTCTAGGTAAACCAAATTTGAAAACTCTCAGCATATGAGTCGTTAGCATAGACATAAAGCTAGTAGCACTGTTAAATTTTTTGAATCACGTTAAACTTAATATGGCGCCACGCTTTTCACTTTCCGTCTATAACTTTCCGCTTTGTGTCCCAACTGATATACCCCTATATTTAATATTATATTTATATTTATTTATTTAAAATTTTTCTAAGAGAATTTTTAATTTTTTGAGAATTACAACATAGCAGGAACTAAGAAGATATTACTTATGTATATATACATGTTTCCGTTTTTCTATTATATGAATGTAAATATACACTTAATTACTTTTGTATCTCTTATGTATAATTTTAAAGAAGAGTTTTTTTTTAATTGTAGCGAAAACCTAGGGAAATTTTATAAAAAAGAAAAAAAAGAAAAGTAAAATTTAAAAAAAAAAAACTTAATCTTGTAGCTTTTCTCCTAAAAGAGATTCTGCAATTAAAAGTAATAATTTTTGCTTTACTCACAGAACATAAATGCGGGCATAGTATAATTTAAAACATTAATATTTTAATAAAAATCCAGCTATGAGGTTAAAGAAATTAGTGATGAAATTTTATCCCAGAAATAAAACATATATCTTTAAGGTTCAAGTACGTGACCCTAAAATTCGAAGTTACATATTCTCTTTGTTACCTACCAATAAGGGTATATTTTAAAATATACAGTTTTGCTTGACAATCAATCGCTTATATTGAAAAACGTAATAAATATTACAGGACTGTTATGATTCTTTCGTTACAGTTTCTCGCTATTTTAAATTAGTTTAATAGAATATTAGTATATTCACAAATTACTAGAAACGCAGAGATTAAGCGGTCCCAGAGATTCATAATGTGCATTATGAACTTAATAATCTAAAAATTACTAATAAGCGTTACCGTTACTGTCACAATTAAGAACCAACTTTACAAAAATGAATTTAGTAAATATCTCAAGAATATCCCATCTTTGATTGCTGGGGCCCACCAGCGGCCGAGCGGTAAAGTCGCTGAACACTGGTAGTTCGGTCCGAGGTTCGAATTCCGCGAACGGGCTGGCTGCATGGGCGTTTTCGAGGTTTTTCCCATGTGTAACGTGTATACGAGCCAGTTTCCCTTATAAAGTCCTCCACGAAGGCATCCCTCCCTTTAGGCAGATAGCCCTCGAGGCTTTGCCATAATCACACATACACATACACATATACACGCTTTGATTGCGGTGCCGTCTGGTGGCAGTAAATGCAAATGATTTCCGAACTTAAACGTAAGCGCAAATTTACCGCCGTAGTATAAACCAGTGCTTCTCAACCTTTTTTGGTCCGCGGACCGGTAAAACTTACGGACCGGTGGTTTTTCGCCCCCTCTTCCCCCCCCAAAAAAACTTTACAAGGTATTCAAGAATTACTACATAAGTCAATTGTAATATACTTATTACCATTTGCCTACAATCATATTTAAATATAAAGATAAGTAAATATTGTAATTATTACATATCAGAATAATTATCATTTATGAGTAAATAAACCTTTGAGAAAAATCATACAATATTACAAAAAAAAAAAAAAAAAAAAAAAAAAAAAAAAAAAGTCACAAAAAACCCCCTTGCATATAAAAACGGATCAGTGACGGTCCCTGGACAAGCGAATGAAGACCCCTTATCTACTATACGAAGCGCCACTTGTCAACCTCTTTTCGTCCTCAAGTGGCAACAACTGAAATAATCGGAATTCATAATAATGCTTTCGTTGAAAAGAACATTTCTACAAACAAAATTCAAATTTTGGACAAGTTTCTTCTGATTGTGGCCAAAGGATAAAACCATATTTCAAATAGTCTGTAATAGAGTGCCTTACAAAGCTTTTTTCTTTTTTTGGCAGATTGTGGATAGATATTCAGATAGATATTCAGCGTTCAAGTAATCAGCGATACTTAAGGCAGACAGGGGCACACTAATTGGTGTACTAAGTGTGTAGCAACCCAATTTATGAAAGGCGATTAGGTACATAGTTGCCAGTTTGTTATATTTTTCATCATCAATCATATTATTTTCTAAACTAGTAAACTATTGTTATTGTAATGTATGTGCTGCTGTAATCTCGGTTGTTGGCCAATGACACTTTGGGTTTTGGACAGATAACTGGATAATTCGCGGACTGGCAATTATTTCTTGCGGACCGGCGGTTGAGAAACACTGGTATAAACTATCATCTGTCTGCGAAAGCGTTGCGAAGGTTTTTCTTCCTAACGAGGCAACGTACACTGTCTGAACTATTCAAAACGACACTTAACATTCACTGTTCACAGTTTGCCCTTGGCGATGTGGACATTCGTAACGACAGTGAATACGAAATCACCTATACTTTCGGACAGAATGAGCTTTGTCTATCATTTGAGTATTATCATCTTTGAAATGTTTCAATCATAGACATACTGAGGTTACATAGACTAAACATTTTATTATTACCCAAATGCCGGAATATTATATGTGTCTCATTACCTCTTCTCACAAGTTTGATATGTACAAAAACATTTTTCTCATACACCAAGATAAAACGTGCTAGGTCTTTCCGCTGGTTGTAATCAAATACCGAAGGCCATGGTTGTCTAACTACAGATTCAAACACCTTGATGAAGAATCTTCATAAAATCCAGTACAGGGTTGCCACTCCTGTCGTCAAGAAAGAGAAATAGAAGCAGGTTCAAAAGTTTTCGCTCAGTCTTCTAACAGGAACTAGAACTACTAGTGCTTAATGAAGATGTCTTCGTTGCTGTTAAGAATTCTAAATGCCGTATACAAAGTCCAACATACGGACTCGTTGGCATAGGGAAGATTTAAAAGTTTTCCATCAATCTTAGTAACTGACAGGAACTGGAACTGCTAGTGCTTAATGAAGATGTCTTCGTTGCTGTCACGAATTCTAAATGTCGTACAAAATCCGACATACGGACTTGTCGGCATAGAGCAGATTTAAATTTTTCCATCAATGGCATCAGTGCTGACGTTAAATTAAGAAGCGGGATTCTTCACATGTTTTATTATGAAAAAGTATAAAATGCTCAAGCTTAAAGAATAAAAAAAAATTTAAAAAAGGTTGCTGGGGATCCGAAGGTTTGGATTGCAGATCATTCCGGATACTGGACGTCCGGATCTCGGACTTTGTACTGCAGTATGCTCCTGCTATAATAGTGCAGCTCTTGTCACAGAGATACGATATTCTGCAGCATATGAGCATAATTGTGTGAGTTTATCAGATCCAGTCAAAAGCTCGGAAAACGTGATTCAAAATTTGAAATACATTGAATGGTCTTTGGATTCTTCCAATCAGAGTCATTCATCAGATACTGTATAGAAATTCTGAACTGAAAAGGCAAGGTTTATTTCTGAGCAATAATATTCAAAGGAACCACAGTCGATATAAGGGTTTTTGTAACATGTTACAAGTATTTATTAGGACGTTATAATATATCAATAAAAAAAGGTGACCTGCGAGTCAAAGCGGCAAGGAAATATCAACAAAATGTTGATGATATGGTCATATCAGTACATTCTTGTACACATGTACACATCTCACCATTCCTCATTAAAAGAGAACAAGGGAATAGAAAGTACGAAATGTAGCTTAGTTAGTTAATCGTAAACTAATATGAAATTCTATTGCCCCATCATACTTCTTGGGAGTAATTTATTGTAGTTCTTACTAATTTTAATAGTTATCAGTTTTCTTTTAAAATTATCCTTACTTTAAATGGTTACGGAAAATTTTGAATATAATGAAATATTTAAGAAATTTAGTTATTTTAATTTATAAAATAGCCAGTCGCTACTTTAGCGTTAAAATAGAAAAACTACAGATTTTATTTATGAAACTTACATGGAAATTTAATCTAATTTTCATAGTATTATAAGGTAGAAGTTGAAAATATATTAAACACCAGGCTGTAAAACAGAAACATATAGTAAATTATCATACATATTAAGTTATTATACAGAGGGTTTTCATTAATATGCGGGGATTAGAATTTCAATTTTCTATTTGTACTTACCCAAATAATATCGTTGAGCCTCCAGTTAAAAATAAGCCAGCCACAACTACAAATTTAGCTCCTATTCTTGTAAGCTGAAAAATAAATAAATAAATAAAGTAAAAGAGCGAAGAATACTTCATCCGTCAGTAGAAGACCTTCGTCGTTGTTTGAGTAACATTATGACTAATAAAAGGCATGCGAGTATGTTCAAAATATCAGATTGCAGTAAAATAATTTTTAAAAAAAGAAAGAAAGAAAAAAGTCTGAAAGCTTTCAGATTTTATGTTACGCCCAAAGGGACTTTTTTTAACGATTTTTGTATTACCTTTATTTATTAACTACCGTGCTCTTCGCACTTAAACCACATAAAATTCACTTTAACAAAATTATCAGAAAATATTTAAAAACAGCATATCTTTAGAATTTCCGATAGACAGTCTCGCGCACTGAAGATAAAAATATTTTTTTCCGTAGCTTTGCCATTACTCGTTTTGAAATCATTGAGTATGTTACTCAAAAACTGGTTAAAGTTTTACAAGATATGAAATAGATAATAAAACAAACTCAAAATTCAAACTTACAGGTCCCCATGTTCGGGTGGAGGATTACGTTATTCAAAATCTGATGGCTCTAGGTACTGTCGTGTTTTTATAATGACAGAAACATACATACATTCATGCGGATTCTTCATTATCTAATTTCCTTAAATATATACAGGGTGACAATATTTGGTGGCTGCAATAGCGTGCTTTTAATGATTCAAAGTAAAATTCCGTTTTGAGACTAACAGCCCTTTTGGACTAGCGCGTTTTGGGCTAAAAAAAAAAAAAGAAAAAGAAAAAAAAAAAAAAAAAAAGAAAAAGAAAAAGAAAAAACTGAAATGTTAAAAATTTCATGACTTCTAACTCATGACAAATTTTATAACAATGAATACTTTAATAACAATAAATTTTTTCTATAAATAGCCATCCACAGTTTTGAGAAAAATTGCTTCATGCCATTTCGCTTTTTTACGAAAGAATTGCTTTAGTATCGATCTTCTTTTACGAGCCAAATAAGTGTATCACTTCTAAGAAAAAGGTGACAGGATAAGGAGTTTGACAATAGATTTGAAAGATGTTTTGAGTTCTTAAAAAGAACTGTACCTAATGGATATAAAAACATGCTATAGTATATGTATTTCAAGTCTTTCATATCAGTTATAGCAAAATACATTCTTCTTGGCTTCGTGGCAGATAGAAAAATTTTATGTAAATTATATGCAAATACATGTAGCCTTCATTTCTGAATAGTTTGGCAAGATAAAAAACACTGATGTCTTTAAAAAAAATTAGACGCGAAAGAAATTTTTCCCCTGACCATTGATATCTTTTATATCAATTCCGAGATTTTTCATATCAATATCTGACAACTTTTTCCAACTTTCTTCGTGATTTATGCTCACGTTGTCATTCAGTCGGGCAACAAATTAATGTATCTGAGTTAAGGTTCCACCTGAAATTATGATTTCTCACAAAAGCTGAGAAATAACGGAACTGAGCTGAGGTGAGTGGCAAGTTGAATTAAACTCCTTCAGTCTTACTTAATCATTTCTTCATACACAGTTTGTGAGTCAAATTTGAGGACTCACTATTTTCTGTTTTGTGTGATGTTTATTACCTTATTAATTAAGAATTAAATAAATGTTGGTACTCACAATTAAATAAAATGAATGAGCTTTCCAATTCAATTTCAATGCATAGCTTTTCTATGTTTGGATGCATGCTGCTAAGAAGGAGCACAAACAGGGAAGGTTCCTTACGCCCCCCCCCCCCGTTATTAAAGCATGGAGGTATGTATTAAAGGTTCTTTATGCCTCCGTCTGAACCAAGGAGGTTAGCCATAGACGTAATGTAAACCAGTTTGCTATTACGCCGCTGGAAAGAGGAGGGAAAATTCGCCAAGGAATTTGGCGACGGAACCTGCCGGCGAGAATTTCTCCCTCCTCGATGTGTACAGGAAATTGTTAAGAAGTGTTAAGAACAAAACGTTCTAAGACAAAACGTTTCTCTCAAAATAACCAATCAATTAATTAATTTACTTGCGCGAAAACATACTTTATTTTCCTTTAAAGTTTAAAGAAATTAAAAATGATATTCGTTTTATGGACTCTTGATAAATGTGACTTTCGAACTTCGACTCCGGCTTCGAACTTTGGCGCTTTGGCCACAGATACTTCGCGCATGCGCAGCCGTTTCCCTCTACGTTGGGAAGGAGCCACTCCTGCTGCGGAGAAGTATTCCTTCTTAACAATTTTGGCACAATCACGGTGCTTTAAATCCCGCTTTTGTTCCAAGACTGGAGAAGGAAGTAGATAGGTAAGAAAACATTAATAAATTTCCTAAAAAAAATGTCAGTCTTGGAAGGAAAAGTAATTGACAACTGCCATCTGTAATTTCCAGACTCCGAGATTTTCAGCTAGAGTGTGCAGAGACAGTTTTATTTACGCTGGAGATGTGAATAATGTGCAATGCCCTCGCGTCGGGACTCGAACCTGAACCTCTCGATTACGATCCGAATGTGCTACCTTTACACCACGAAGGCACGCTGGAAACAGGGAGAAAATACCTTATATACACCCTCTTCTAAAGGGCGATGGGAGATTAGAGGACCCAATCTTCAAATCCTGGCGGTGACGAATTATTGTCCACCACCTTTTAGTTCAAGCCCCATTATAGAGAAATATTTTTTTTTTTCTTAAAATAAAAAGCAGGAGATGTGAAAAATAGGCAATGCCCTTACCGGGACTCGAACCTGGACCTCTCGAATAACTGCCGAGTGTGCTACTGTTACACCACAAAGGCATGCTAGAAGAAGGGAGAAAATATCAATATAGTATACACAGTTAATTTTAATTTTATTTTTTGTCTTTTTGGAAATCTAGGAGAACTAGGACAGGCTTCGAAGACTACTGTGGTCCGCAACCGCAGATTGACAAACACTCCATGAAAGATTTCAGTTTTGACAGCATTTCCAAAATTCGTAAAAATGTAACAAAAGATAAAAGAGAAATTCCAACATTTGACTTTTGTGAAAGCATCCGCATATTTTAACAAGTACAGTAGTGCAGGAGATTGTATGCAGGGAGATTCAACGGCTGTAACGTTATGTTCTTCAAATGCAGATTTCTTATGAATTCATTGCTTAACATTTGTAGACTCATTCGATTAAAAATTATTTTAGGAAATTTTGAAGTTTAAAAACTTTAAATTACGTCATCAAATAAATTCAATAAATGAAGCGAAAAAAATTAGTTTTGATGATCAAAAATAAATCTACATAGAAAAGAGTTGTAAAATAGCGAAAGTTCAGAAATTTGAGTTTAAATCATTGGAGTTTTCACAACTACTGTTCTTGGATGCACAGGACATTTTGAACATGCAGTTTTACATACTACGAAAAGCAGGTATTTATTTTAGTTAACTAAATGTGGCAAAGAACATCATGACCATCTAAGCAGAGATCCTTCATTGGAAGATTTTTTAAGGAAATCTGACTCGTATTTGCGTTTCGGATGAGAGAATCCACGAAGACATGCACAGAACTCATTTGCCGGGATCCCAACACAGGTTGAATTACTATTGCTTAGAAATATTACCAGTTTGACCGCTAGTGGGTACATGTAAAGTATGGAATACACAAGATTTCTGGAAAGAAGTTTAGCTTGGCTAATGTATTTATCTATGGATGATGTTTCTTTATGTGTACGTATGTTTCTTATTCAGAATAAGCTATTGAGTCCTAATACAGAAAACTTTTAAGAGTGATTAGCTTACTCAAATACAGAGGTCCCTACGGGCTTATTTTTCTTTTTAAGTAGAGTCCTTCAAATTGAAATATATTTATACAGCGCTTTATGTATGACTCAAAATTATGAAATAGAATGTTTTTTGGAATTTCTTTTGTACTGCGACTGTGACTTTTTTACTTCGTCATCTAAGAAACGCCAAGGAGGTTAGAATAGAGGAGCTTGCTGCTAAGTTGTTCTAGTTGTGACTTCTTAATATCAAGCAATGCCTGCGAATGTTAGAGAAATGCGAGAAACTATTTTTCTTGAGAAAAATGCGAATGCAAGAAACAATTTTTTTTTCTTGAGAAAATCCACTTCTTTCTTCCTTATGGCTAATGGCTCCAAGCAAATTTTTTTCCAGGTTGTTTTCACAACAGTCATCATCTATTGTTTGAAATGTTGACATTTTAAGTAACAGTTAATGCTTACCAAAACTTGCTTTTGTCGAACACTCACGTGCTACCATCTTTGAAATGGCTCTGTCACTGAAACACTGAAGGAAGGTTAAGATGAAAACCGCAACTTTTCAATATTCCATCATTGCTTTTTCCAAGTTTAACATGAAGTTTAACCGCTCCTCCGCCAGATTTTTACACAAAAAATCTTCCATATTCATCACGAAATGAAATGTACTAGATGTTTCTGTTCGCTGTACCCAAAAAGTCATGTTGATGTAGTACCGCTATATTTCTAGAGTGCTGCACAGAAGCTTACTTTTCAGTCAGCCTTATGAAAAATACGATTTGAAATTAACTTGTAGAAACATTAGGTATTTTTTGGAAGCAGGAGAAGTGAAAAATGAGCATTGCCTTCGCCGGGAATCGAACCACCAACCTTTTGAATACGTGCCCTGCGCGCAGACAACCACACCACGAAGGTATGCTAGAAAGGCGGGAGGAATGCCTTATAAACTTATTGAATATGAGTAACTCTGAGATACCTAAAGAGTAATTCAGTATTCAAATTCATGAACTGTCTCTTATTAGCACTAGCGTCTAAGCAGGCTTATTTTACTTATATAAATCATCGTTAACGTGTCTGGTAAGAAAACATTTAGACGTTTTATTAATGCTGGTAACAATTAAGATTCATTGGAGCACCTTCAGAGAACTGTCAAATGAACGAGAGTTCAATAATGGTTTGGTTTGAGAAAAAACTGAATTAATCAAGCAGAAAAAGGACAATTTATTTATAAAAAAATATTCTGCATGAAGTATAAGGTATGTTTTATCTCATGTAATGCATGCTTTCATTCTACAAAGG